GGTAGCAAAATGACAATTTATTATTATAAATTATAATAAACACAATTGCAATGTATTTCATTTGCAAATTAAAAAACTAACTATATAGCAAATTAGCAATCCACTAAATTACCCTAAAAGCTTGCTTGGAGGGGGCAAAATAACAAATATTTAGTGAGGGGGGCAAAAAAAAAAAAAAACTACAATACGGGGGCCAAGGCCCCCTGCACCTTAAATGTGGCTCCGCCACTGAATATAAGCATAATTAGTGAAGTAAAATAGTTATATATGTATGTATGTATGTATGTATATAAATATAAATTTCAGAAAAAACGAATTCTTTACTCTCTTTATATATTTTATTTTTTTACCTTTCGAGAAAATATATAATATGAATTTCTATATTCAATCTACATTTTTACTATGTAAGAGCAATTGAGTTTTTATACTAATTATTTTTAATTTTTAATTTTTAATTTTTAATAATTTATTTTTCACAATAATATGATTAATATTTCAAGTAATTTTGTTTTTTTTTTTTGTTTTTTTTTATTTATTTATAAAATTTGAACCGAGTTTACAATTTAGACATAATTAATAGACTAAAATTGTCACTTTTCCTTTGATATCACATAACCTTAAATTGTGAGAGAAATATGATTCTTATGAAAGCTGCAAAAATGAACTAACAAATAAAGTTTGAAAACTCATCTCACATTTCCTTATTAGTCACTATCTTATGAAAGCAGCAAAAATGAACTAATAAATAAAGTTTCAAAATCGTCTACACTTGCATTTCTAAGGTTACGTTGCACTGCCCAGGAGGCCAGGAGTCATCAGCTCGTCATATATTCCGAACAGTAAGCATTGAGTGGTCTTCTTGATGCAAACGCCACCGGGTCCCTAAACTCAATAAATTAAATATTACTCCGTATCATAATATTCTATTCGGGGAATTGAAGAAAAAAAAATATACATATATAAAACAAATTTAAATGCATTTAGAATTTTAAAAATAAAAACTTTATGAATGGTTAGATAAGAAATGAGGTAGTCCGTGTAGCTAAGCTAATTCCATTATGAGATGATAGATTGGGGACAATGACACAAATGGAACTCTAACAATCACAGTATAAGAGTTACACCTAATATGATGAGTATATTATATTGTGGGGGCCAAGCACGAATCCTCCCTCTTAATGAGTTATTAGTTACCGTAATTTATCATTTAGCTATTCTGTGAGGGCAGAATATTTATGGGTCGGATAAGGAATGAGGTAGGGCCCGCACGAGTTCAGTGGTATAGTAATTTATTTAATCAACCGTCAAGTCTCAATCTAATTCAAGAGTATTTATAATAATTTAGTATACTTGCACATTTTCTACTTACATATAACACATTAGAAGTTTAGAACCCTAGTAGTTTTTCTATATGGTCCACGTAACCACAGTTCACAGTGAAATTTGCCACACTTAATATATCGGTAATGTTTTGTTTGTTTTGGTTTTTTTTGAAAGGATATAACGCTAATGTTTAACCCAAGTTGTCTTGCGTTTAAAACTTTTCGTTATATCGTGCACCATGGCGCATAATGTATTGTACGTCCCGTCTTATCCAAAACAACATCATTTTGTTAAGTTGTGTGGAAAGTTGAGGTGATGAACACCGTTTTATGTGTATTATGTTAAAGGTTTATGTGTATTATGTTAAGAGTTAATGTGTTTATGTTAATAGTTTATGTATATTATATTAAGTTAAGAGCTTATGTGTATTATGTTAAAAGTTTATGTGTATTATGTATTATGTTAGATTATGTGTATTATCTTTTCAAAAAAGAGTATGTGTATTCTATTATATAATTATGTACATTCTGTTATACAATTATGTACATTCGGTTATGCAATTATGTACATTTTTAAAACATGAGATTTTTTTAAGAAGTTAACCGCAGACACAGAAAGCGGAATTTCTCAAAAAAAAATAAAAAATAAAAAAGAGTACAAAACGATGTCGTTTTGCACCAGGGCGCACAATGCAATGTACGCCCTAGTGCACGATATAAATTGTCACTAATGAATGTGGACAACAAAATTTAAGCAAATTATATCGTGAATTATGATACACACTGTAAAGTGAATCACTACTAAATATTTATTTTTAGTATACTTGATAGAGTAAATTATTTAAGGTCAAATTGAGTGTGATAGAGAGCCAATTTGAAGGTGAAAATGTGCTTGGGAAACTAACTATGGGTCCGACCTTATAAGGTCGAGACTTGGGAAGCTCCGATTGGAGTGATCTTTATTATGAGGCCAAAAGTCCCCTCATTAATGCATACAATGCGCTTTATATAGGTGAAGAGATGGAACAAGTTCTGGGGGACTCGTATGTTCTCCATGTGCCGAAAGTAGCTTGGGTGCACTGATAGTGGACTTTACACTGTACACTTGTCTAAATAAAACTGACAAGCCATGTGAACGTGTAACGAGCCTTCATATGGTCGAGTTAGGTTGATTTAAGGTTACTAATTGGTTATTGAGAGCTATTTGTGGTCGGGAATATGTGATTCTTTTATTAATTATGATCGGTAAATGGTAAATAAGCTGATCCCAATGATGCCCAATCTGAATTCCGGTGTGTGGTGAGACCGGGATGTCTACTGACAATGGGATCGGACCGGTAAGTAAACATGCATTACTTGGGTTGGGAAATACACTAGTGTGATCAGAAAGTAAATTAGTGAGGTCAAAAAATACACTAGTGAACTCTGCATGGCAAGTGAGTTGCCTTATGACCCTATCAATACTAAATGTTCATTTAAGGGTCCGTTTGGAAAGTAGGAAAATGACTTCTGGAAAATGTTTTCTGGAAAATGAGTCATTTTCCGGAAAACATTTTCCTTTCCAGTGTTTGGTTGCATTCTGGAAAACTGTTTTTGTGTGTTTGGGTCATTTTCTGGAAAATGAGTAGAATTGTATAATTAAACATTTTAATTATTTTATTTCGAATATTACAACATGTATAATAATATATAATAATATAATAATAATTTTAAATATAATAATAAAAAAAATAACTAATAATATATCAAAAATATTATGGTGGTGGTGGTGGTGTAGTGGTAGTGGTGTTATTTGTTATATAATAATAATAATAATAATAATAATAATAATAATAATAATAATAATAATAATAATAATAATAATAATAACAACTGGTGGTGGTATGACAGCAGTGGCAGTGGTGGTGTGGTGGCGGCGCCGGTGGTTGCGGTGGTATGGTGGTGGTGGTGACGGCGGCGACGGTGGTTGCGGTGGTATGGTGCTGGTGGCGGCAGCGGCGGCAACGGTGGTTGCGGTGGTATGGTGGTGGTGGTGGCTGCGGTGGTATGGTCGTGATGGTGGCAGCGGCGACGGTGTGATGGTGGTGGTGGTGGCGGTGGCGGTGGTATGGTGGTGGTGGCGGTGGCAGTGGTATGGTGGTGGTGGTAACGATAGTATGGTGGTGGTGGTGGCGGCGACAGTGGTTGCAGTGGTATGGTAGTGGTGGTGGCGGTGACGATGGTTGCGGTGGTGGTATGGTGTTGATGGTGTTGGTGGTGGTAGTGGTTGCGGTGGTATTGTGTTGATGATGTTGGTGGTGGTGTGATGTTGGTGTAAAAGTTGGAAAATGACTTCCCCTCAAAAAAAGGGGAAGTCATTTTCCTCCAAAATGAGCCTATTTTCCAAAGTCAACGGAAAATGATTTCCGTTGACTTGATTTTCCAGGCACATCTAAACAATGGAAACTTGGAAAATGATTTCCAGAACTCATTTTCCAGGTTTCCAAACACACCCTTAGATTATATAACAAAGGTACATTTTTAGTGTAACATACTAAAAATGAACTTGGAGTATTTTAAAAATAAACCTCCAAAAATAAGTTGTAAAATGTAATACACACACACAAAAAAAAAAGAGTTTTCAATATACTAAAAACGAGCATATATGATGTATGTTAGTGGTCCACATAGTAATGTGAATTATGGTTCACAGTATAACGATTGCAAATTTCAAACGTTGTAAAATGTTTTTTTTTTTAATTTTTATTTAAAGATTATTAATTAACAAGGTTAATTTCATTTTCAAAACTGATGTGAAATTAATGCCTTCTCTTGATATTCACACAAATGAAGGTAGTGTGTAATTCTACTTCATATTTGGAGAGGGTTTTATAATGAGTTGTTAGAAAGTAATTTACAAATAACTTGCATAAACTTAAATGCCCCAAACAATTTAATTACTATGTTATTTTCTTGATATGAATAGAGTGGAGTATTAGACATCATTACAGTTTGGTTCAAGTTTTGAATTAGTGGTTCACGGTTTTGAAAAAGAATAATTCGAAATACGGTTATTTTTATGGAGTATTATTACTCCGCCTTGCAGTTTGATTAACATGCCATTAAGTAATGTACAAATCGTGAATAGACATGCTATATAAAGTATGTATGTCACGAGATAAATCATTCACTCATTAGTTGGCTACTAATCATGATGATTTGCATGCATTTGATTCCCCCACACAATTTAATATGCCTTTTTGTTATTGCGGTTGGAGTTGTCAGATCTATATTCTTGTAATGTTGACGTGTTTTTTCCCTTTACCGGTAACAAAACTTTTTAAAATAATAAAAAACATCCCTTAAGAACTATCATACTCAAAGTACTTTTGATACATCAGAGAATCACAGAGAGAATTCACTCAATCCTAATCACCATGTCAAACCTCTCGAAGCGTCAACAAAGAAAATATCTTTCATATCATCCTACGTATGCTCAACCACCAACTCCAACAATGTATCCCAAGAACTCATTGTAAGATCTCTTACTTTGTTATGAAATGTAGAATAATAAAGAAAAAAAAACATACAATTCCTAATTTTTCTTAGTCTTATGATGTTTTTCTCTCCTTAACTCAACTAAACCAAGCCAATATAAAGATTGTTGTTTTGAGAAATGAGAGCGACATTCACTCCCGCTTGAGCCACGAGACGAGAAACACTACAGATAAACCTATGAGAACAAAGTTGAAAACACCCGTTTTCTTCTATAGACTAAATCAAACAATTTTCTTTTTCCCAGAACAAAAAATAAAAACGAAAAGTAAAACCCCTTTCCCCTCTATAGTTTCTCTGGGAAAGCATCTGCAGACTGCAGGGTCAGAGGCGTTCAGCTTCAGCAATGAGATAGCACTGGGAAATTTTTTATTTTTTTTGAAAAATTTTGAAAAAATGCCTCTGGGTTTCAATTAAAAATGAGGCCTTTTTACTGGTGTTTGGAAATCTAGCGGCTAGTAGTTAATGGTTCTTGATTCCATAGGGCTTTGATCTCTGAGATGGAATCATCCAACGGCTTAGAACGGCAGACCCGATCGGCGGCTGATACTGGAGGAGGGAAGCATAGGATTTCAGCAGAACTGAAGAGGCTAGAGCAAGAAGCTCGTTTACTGGAGGTCAGTCTTTCTGTTCAATTATTTTTTTGTTTTTATTCATAAAGAAATTTGGATTTTAGGGTATTTTTGGTGAGAATTTATTGCTAATTCTTTAAAAAGAAGGAAATGAAGAAATTTTTCCCAGCATTCATTTGAATTCCATAGTGGTTACTTAAGATTGCCCCTGCTGAATTTGAGTTAAAGGTGGAAACTTTAAGCTTTTAACAGTAATTTTGTGATGGATTCTTGATAAAGAGTGAGTGGATGGCTTCATGAAAGAATGGGGTAGTACTTACTACTTAAAATGAGATGAAGAAGCTGTATATATAATATATACATGGTAATCTCAAGCAAATAGGCATAATTGTTCACTATCTTTGGGCCGCAAAGTGAACTGAAATTTAGAAGTTAGAGTTTCGGAGTTTCCTAGACCAAGGTTTAGCCATTTGTGTTAGCAAATTATACCTATAGATAGGTTAGGACTTAGGAGTATGGTATAGTATAGTGGACAAGAGATCTAGAAACCGATGTGTGTGAGATTAAGGCGAGGGGTTTGTACATTATACTCGAGTGATGTTCAAATCGATGTAAAAATGTAAAAAGAGAAGGGAAAGAACATGAATACAATTCAATGCAAAGCCAAGAAAAGGAAACTTTTTGTAGCAAATTAGATTAGTTGTTTTATAAATCTTTTCTGTTTGGAAATGGTGTATTCTTGAACTTTAGATGGTTTTATGTGTTAATTGTTTGAAAGTATATGCTCCTGATCTTTGGTGCTAGTTTATATGTGATGAAAGTTACGGATCTTGACTCTTTTTTTTGCCGTTTAAGAACTGTGCTTTGCTGCCCACGAGTTTGTGTATATATATGCTAAAATAGCCCTAAGTTGTCCATAGCTAACCGACTCAAACCAAGAAGGCCAATAGCCCGCTCCCCTCTAGGAGTTGAACTTGTAACCTTGTGGTTACCAAGATAACCGCCTGACTAACTTGGCCCCCGTATGTTGTGCTTCTTAATGCTATCAGAGAATGCTTATAACTATGAGGCTCAATATAACGGGTGAGGTGTATTGAGCATATAACCATTAATGTGCAATCCAACTATGAGCTTAGGGTTTTAGTTGAGATGGAGCACATGCTTCAATTTGGTATCAGAGCCATGCCAAAGGTCATGGCTTTTGCTTGGAACCCACTGCACACGTGAGGGGGCGTGGCACATGCTTCAATTAGGTGGACCTGAACCACGTTTGCAAAGTTTGACTGGTACTCTGGAGTAAGGCCATACCCAGAGCTCTTTAACATGATACACATACAATAGTTTATCCTTCGACCTTGCATCTCTTGTTATCTTTTTATTAGTTTAATGAATGCTACTCGTTTTTGGTAAGAAATTAATTAGTTTTCTTCGGGTGCTCCAGGAGGAAATGGAACAGCTGGACAAAATGGAAAAGGCCTCGGCTGCTTGCAAAGAGTAAGAAAACAAACAATATTTACATGTTTCGGTGCATGTAACGAGTGATATCAATTGTCTAATTGGATTGTTTTGTGTGGACACCAGAATGTTGCATAACGTGGGAACAAAACCGGATCCACTTCTCCCACAGTAAGCCTTCGTGGATTTGCTAAACGTGTTGTAAGTTTGGGTTACTATAATAGAATTGTTTACTAAAGCGAGTTGCTATTTCTTCGTGCCAGAACTAATGGCCCGATAAATCCTTCTTGGGATCTGTGGTTCGAAGGACCACAAGACGAATCTAGTTGTGGATGCTGGATACTCTGATTCTTCTCGGCTTATTCATCCAGACGTTTCGTCATTGATTGGAGAGTCAATTGTTAATCGAAGCTGCTAACTATGAAGGGAAATGGTGCAGGAACTTTTTTTTTTTTTTTTTTTTTTTTTGGTTTTGAAATTGTAGGAAGCTGAAACCGAAAGAGATTTGTTGCTTTGCTTATGTTCAACTAAGTTGAACTAGGTTGGACTTCATTTTATGGTACAGCACAAGGTTGTCAGAATATTTGCTTTTGCTTAAAGCCTTTGAACTATCCAATTCTCATAATCTCTTTTTTTTTTCTATAGTTTAAGTGTTTAACATTATAAATGCATTTTGACAGATATTCTTGTGCTAACAATTTTTTTTTTTTTGATAAGATTCTTGTGCTAACATTAATGTTCATTAAATGATCCAAGGAAGCATATTAAACTCGAGTAAGAATTGATTGTATTAGGTGTTAAAAAGAAAGAATTGAAGTGTGCTTAGTGAATGGCTGGGTGGGAGTTTAGATCCTGCTATAGACAATATGGAGATGAGGCCGGCAATTACAATAGTGATTTTTGAGGACACAATGCTTATATGGAGGACAGATAAAGAGGAGAGTAAGTTTGATTTTCGATGATTAAATTGACGAAATTTTAAAAATGAGTAAATCACCATTTTTATCCATGGAAGGGTTTAATTGACGAAATTTTAAACAATTCGAGGATCAAATTAGTTGAAATTGAAAACTAGAGACTATATAGACAATTGGGAAACAAATAAGGGAACAAAGTGATGATTTTCTCTAGTAATATATTATTTTTATAGGAAAAATATATCATGACGATTGATATTGGTGTTTCTTACCTCGTATATAATCCAAAAAAAATATGAGTACAATTTTAAGTTTGTATCAGATACTATAAAGAGTAAAGACAATGTCTCTATAATATGGTGTAAATTTAAAAGATTACTCATTCACTTTTTTTTATTGTACTAGTATTTTCTGATGCGTGATGCGCAAAAATTAGGTGCCCAATATTAGTATTTTATATTAAGATTTTTAATATTTAAATTATTATAAATAATAATAATAATAATAATAATAATAATAATGGTGTAAACATTTTTATACATTTGATATTTATATTGTAGGAAATAACTCCAAATTATAATGTGTAAATATTATTATTATTATTATTATTATTGAATAAGATAAGAAAATATATGGTGGATGCATGTGTATGGTAACAATAGTGGAAAAGATAACGGAAGTTATAACGGTAGGGGTATGTTTGTCCAAAATATTATAAAGTACAACCTTTATATCATAAGGTATAAAAAAAACTTAACGGAAAAATGGGACATAAATAAATGGTATAACTTTCATTCACACTTATTATGTTTTTATTTAGATAGAGTGTAAAAGTATGGTGCGGTACATTAAAATTTTCATATTTTTATATATCTCATTTTCTTTTATCTGATTTGAATGAATTAATTATTGGCCTACTACTTTACATTTTTGGGAGAAGTATTGAAAACATTTTAATGCCGGAGGAGTGGTTGAGTAGTAGTTGATTTGTCACTTAAGAATTAAATAATTAAATTATACTTTTGGAAAATTTTTAATACCGGTTATCAATTACGGAGTATTATATATGTGGCAAGTTAGTAATAATTTGTTCAAATAATGCAAAAAAAAAAAAAATATTGACAATTCAATTTTTAATAGAAAAACATAGAACAAAATTGACCGAAAAATATAAAAGGCAAACTAACATTTTTTCTCAAAAAAAAATAAAATATTTACAGGGCGTTTGGTTGGAGGGGGGGAATTATGTGGGAAAGGAATTATAATTCTATAGGAGTTGAATTACTGGGAATAAAGTGGGAATTTAAATTCTAGTGTTTGGTTGACAGGAATAAAATTACTGGGAATTTCAATTCCAATGTTTGGTATACATGGGAATTGAAAAGGAATAAGTAGTATAAAGTCAAAAATGTCCATTATTGTTGTTAGACATTAATTTTAGGTTAAAAAAGGAAGGGGTAATTTTGACTCATCACTATCTGTTTTTCCCAGGAATTAAAATACCAAGGGGGACATGGGATTTTAATTCCATGAAAATGGGGGAATTGCAATTCCCTTCAACCAAACTACGGAATTTAATGGTCTTTGGAATTAGGTGGGAATTAAGTGGGAAGGGAATTTAAAATCCCTCCAACCAAACGCCCTGTTAGTTGAGAGTTGAGACAAATCAAATGGAGATTTACGTGGATCAAAAAATAGAAAACTCATGACTTTCCTAAATCCTAAAAGAAATAAGGTTCAAGTTGACAACGTAACTTAAAAATGCAATTAGGTCACTAAACGAAAAAAAGTGTAATTAGACCACTAAACACTTTAAATGTATAAAATATCACCTGATAACAGGTTACCATCAATTTTAGTAGGTTACCTGCTTAGGTGGTAGCTGAGCTGGTATTTTTAATAATTTTTAACAATTTTTTAAAAAAAAAAAAATTAAAAAGAAAAAAAAAAAACGACGGGTGACCCCTTCGTCTAATTTTTATTTATTTATTTTTAAATTTATTAAAAATTATTTAAAATATCAACTTAGCTGCCATGTAAGCAGGTAACCTGCTATCCGGTGAAATTGCATACATTTAGAGTGTCCAGTGACCTAATTGCAAGTTTTTGGAATGTTCAATGGCTTGATTATACTTGTTTTTCGTTTAGTGACTTAATTATATTTTCAGGTTATGTCCAGTGGTCTATTTGAACATTCTTTCACTCCTAAATAATTAAAATTATAGAAATTTTCTAAATATATACTTTGGAACATTTGGTTTAAGTAATCTAAGAATACTTAAGTAGTGTGAGTATGATATTAATAGACTTAACACTCCCCTCGCTATCTCCGCCGTTTCTTCTATTTTTTGACTCCGTTATCTCGCTCTCTTCTCAGTTCTCACTCCTCCCAATCGCCGTTAGCTAACCGGAGAAACATGTCGCAATCTCTCAATTTCTTCGTTTCCTCCTCGTCGCGTTCGGCCGCCACTTTACCGGTTTCCAAGCCCTCGCTCTCGTTCTCCTCCGCCGCCGCCGCTTTACGGTTGCCGGCGGCCAAGATATCCGGACGGGGCTCCATCGCTAGGGCTTCGACGTCGGATCTCGATTCGTCTTCTTCCTCGGTGCTGGTCTCGCACAACGGCGCCGGCGCCGGGGTCGTGTCGGCCGCCACGCGGGAGCACGGCTTTGGCGACGCGCTCGCGGCTGCGATTGAGGTGGACGCGGTGACGGAGGCGGAGCTCAAGGAGAATGGCTTCCGGAGCACCAGGAGGACCAAGCTCGTGTGCACCATTGGTCCCGCCACGTGCGGCTTCGAGCAGCTGGAGGCGCTGGCCGTCGCCGGGATGAATGTGGCTCGAATCAACATGTGCCACGGCACGCGGGAGTGGCACAGGATGGTCATCGAGCGGGTCCGGCGGTTGAACGAGGAGAAGGGGTTTGCAGTCGCCATTATGATGGATACTGAGGGCAGCGAGATCCACATGGGTGATCTTGGAGGCGCTTCTTCTGCCAAAGCTGAGGTATCATAAATTGTACTAGTCCGTAATACTTTTCTCTTTTATGAGTATTTAATGATTTAATGATGAACTATTTGATTTGGCTCTTATTTAGCACTTAACTAATATGACTTTTGATTGTAGTGTCTTTGTGAAGGATAAATAGTTCTATTGCTGAGTATAGTATGTAGTATAAATAAATAAAATATTGGAGGTTACACTGAGTCTCATGAGCATTGAGCCTCTTGAAATAATAATGGTGATGATGATTACAAAATTGGAAGACCAAACTAGGCATAAGAATCCACTAATTAAATATTAAGAAAAAGTTTTGAAAAGCATCTCATCCTCAAATAGTCATTTGCCTTTTTCTTTCTTTTTTGGCTTTTGTAGTTCTAAGAAACAAAGTTAGCTTCTTGAGTAATAGTGTCATGAGTTTGGTTGAATTGTAAAACCCTGTCTTTGAAGTGCAGAATCATTCTAGTTGATGAAAGTGAGGTGCCAATGCTTGAGTTTGTTTCCCTTTTAGCAATTATGCAATTCTATTTTGTAAATACATGAGAAATTTGCTAAAGATTGACACTCTCTGAGTAATACAATAGATGATTCAATATTTACTTGAGCTGCTATTTGAATGTTAAAAGTGGAATTGATGAGGAATAAATAATTCTGCTTTGGACTCGGTGGTCGTGGGACTTTGATACAAGATTTTGGAAAAATTGGGTTTCACTTGTGATTTTTTCTTTTTGGTTTCTTTTTAATTTGAGAAAATTTCAGAGAGCTTGCTGGACAACACTATAGTAGTTCAAGTAGTGATGCCCATTTTCTTTCTAATACTTGTTGTTTATGAGTAGGATAAGAAAGAGCATTGCACCGCCTTAGGATTTCTCTATAGAGTTTAGTTGGAGCTAGTAAACTGTGAATCGGCATTTAATGTTGCATTATGTGCTGCAGTGAAGAGTTATGTATACATTCACATCTTATTCTTTCTTCAGGATGGGGAAATTTGGACCTTCAGTGTTCGAGCATTTGAATCAACTCAACCTGAGCGGACCATTAACGTTAACTATGATGGCTTTGCTGAAGGTTTATGAAATTTCTGGATTCAAGCAAAATATATGGTTATTGCTTTCACGAAGCACTGATAGTAGCTTTCAGTGGTTGTTAGAGTCATCTAATGAAGTATATAGGAAGTTCACTGTTTTATAATTTGCTGTTACAGATGTGAAAGTGGGGGATGATCTACTAGTAGATGGTGGAATGGTGAGGTTTGAGGTGATTGAGAAAATTGGTCCAGATGTTAAGTGTCTCTGCACAGATCCTGGGCTCTTATTGCCGCGGGCTAATTTGACATTTTGGCGCGATGGGAAATTAGTAAGAGAGCGAAATGCTATGCTTCCTACTGTTTCCTCGAAGGTTGGTGCTTGTTTCTCTTTCAATATAATGAGCATAATGTGTTTTCATTTATTCATTTTTACTAAAATCTGGTACTCTGTATAAATACCCTGTAAAAAACAATTAACTTGAGCAGTGCTCTTACTTGCTTGAATGCAGAGATGTCCATATGCTTCCTTGCTATAATTAACTGTGGAACTACTCTTTTTTATGAATAGATTACTTTCTATAGATGGAATCTAATGTTTTCTGTATAGTAGGATTGCAACCCAATGTATTTTACATGTGGAGTTTGCAGATTTGCAATAAATAAAATAATATAAATGTGCTTGTAATATTGATGGATTCTATTTGATGATACAACTCGTTGGAGCTCATATGTTAAGATACTGATAACATTAATTGTTAGTTTAAGTACTTTATTTTGCAACATTTTTCATTATTAGATCCTTTTGCTCTATTTATAGCTTAAGTAGAAAATAGCAGAAAGTTGTTAATGTGACCAACAATTTAGCTTAGTTTACTTCAAACTTTCCATGTGCTTTTCCCAAGGATTTTGTTAGTCTTTTACTTTCATCATTAAAGGATGGTAAGTTTTACTTGTACAAGTAAATGCTTGAGAATTCCATTTATAGTTTAGAAACTTAAATGCTTCAGTAGAAGATAGAAAATAATATTCTTTAGTTATCAAATGCAAAAGTAACAGAAAGCACAAGCTTTTAGAGTGGCTCTTGGTTTGGGTGCATGCGTGTATCTATTAGCAATGCCCTTTGTTCTTAAGTACATATATTAAAATCTCAAAGAGCAAATCTTTTTAGTATGTAATCTCCGGCTCAAACATTCTTTTCCTTCAGGATTGGCTAGACATCGACTTTGGGATTACAGAAGGCGTAGAATTTATTGCAGTATCATTTGTCAAGTCTGCTGAAGTCATTAACCATCTTAAAAGTTACATCAAAGCACGAGCTCGTGATAGGTCAGTATGTGATTTCCTTTTTTTCTTAGTCATAAGAGAAATATATACTTTGATTCTTAATGTGAAGTTACTTTATTTAAAGTTGGACTTTTTGTAGAAGGCTAGAAGCCAAATGCTCACCCTTGACCCTGTAAGTCATGGGTTCAAAACTTGTAAACTTCTCTTAAAAACTACTGTTGCATTCTTCCTCCTTCCCCATAAGCTCTGCAGACCTTGGAGTAATAGGGCGTGGATCTTCCTTAAAATGTGCATAATGTGGGAGCCTTGTAGAGTTGTAGATTAACCAAACAATTGAAGCTCTTCCTATCTACTAGATACCGGAGAATTTGAGAGTTTATATATTGATTTTGGTTGCAGTGATATTGCGGTAATTGCAAAGATAGAGAGTATTGACTCATTGAAGAATTTGGAAGAAATTATTCAAGTGTCAGATGGAGCTATGGTGGCAAGAGGAGATCTTGGTGCTCAGATCCCATTGGAACAGGTTCCATCGGAGCAGGAAAAGATTGTTCAGCTTTGTAGACAGCTGAATAAACCTGTTATAGTTGCTTCGCAGTTACTTGAGTCTATGATCGAATATCCTATTCCTACTAGAGCTGAAGTGGCTGATGTTTCTGAAGCAGTAAGGCAAAGGGCAGATGCTTTGATGCTATCAGGAGAGTCGGCCATGGGGCAGTACCCTGATAAGGCGTTGACTGTGTTAAGAACTGTTAGTTTGAGAATTGAGAGGCAGTGGAGAGAACAGAAGCAACATGAAGCTATGGAATTGCCGTCTATTGCTTCTTCATTTGGAGATAGCATATCAGAAGAAATTTGCAATTCTGCTGCCAAGATGGGTAAGAAATCTATTTTAAAAGTTTTAAGAATATTTCTTTAATACATTTATTGTATGGCTTGTGTGTATGTCTAAAATTAGAGTTAATGAAGTGCATTGCATGTAGGAACTTCTACTAAGAAGCATGCATCTGTTCTTAACAAATAAGAACAATCACAAAAATACTCCTGAAAAATTAGTCTGGATTAAACTTTTTGAAATGATCTTGAAATCACCAAATGCCTCAAAACATTTCCATACTAAAATGAATGCTAGTTATCCTTTTTGAGATGAAGATAAAAGTCTTTGCATTCACTTAGAATAAGTGTATTATGGACAAACAGATACTAGAGTCATCTGAATTTTTTACTTCCCCAATAAATTCTTACACTTATCAATATTTGAAAAACCAGAGTAAGTTGTGGTTCAACAAGCTTTTCTGCATAATGTAATTAATTCGCATTTTTACTCTCTATTCAGCAATTACTATGAAGTTGAATTAGGCATTCAACCTGAAATTGGAGCATGTTAATACTCAGTAATTCCGATATATTTTCATTGTATGGTTTTTGATATATTTCTCAGAGAAGATAAGTACTTAATCAAAGTATACTTGTAACAAATTTATGAAGTATACTTTCTCAATGTTCTGTGTTTGTCTCATGTAACATAGACATATGAGCATATTCTCTTTTAGCGTTGGTTACCTGGAAAAGATAAGGATGTTGAGAGTTGGTGCTATCACAAATAACTTTTGAATTTTGTTTGGTGTTTTGGAGTTTTAGACCCAGCTAGTCAATGTCTCTGAACCACTTGCACTTTAATTTTTTGTTATATTCATTTCATAAGTTTGGAGGATTCTGCCATGAAATGAAGTTTTAGACATGTAAAGTAAGTGCCTAAGTGGACCTTTAGGAATACCACACCAGGATTTACATCATGCAATCTGGACCATATTTGGAGACTTGGAGTTCTCACCACTGTTAAATGGGCAACTCTTCAATTACCTGTGTACTTCACTCTTTTTCAAAAGAAACATGCTCTTCTTTCCATGCCTTTAAAAAAAAAAAAAAAAGAAATACAATAGAAGCTGCTCCCCGAACCCCCTTATTTTTGAATCAGTTACTATCCTTGCCTTTTAGATTCAAATATTTACTATGATATTACTGGCAATGACCTGGACACCTATATGCAGCCTACTAGAGTCCCATGGAGAGTTGGTCCCACCTAAAAGTTTTACGGTTTTTTTGAAGTTGGGGCAACTTTTGTGCCATCTTCATAAAGGTGTTCACTTTCCTGGATGAGTTGGGAGGACAGTAGAGGTAGTAATGAGAGAAAGCTATTCAAGGTTTAGGTTGGAGAATATGGAAGTAAAGTAGGAAAAAACTTGAGTAAGTCTATATTGTGCTCATGTGATATAGGTGGAGGCATGCGGCATAAAGAATGAAAATTTGGGAATATGTTTCCTGTTTTTAAGGAGGATAGTTTCAAATATAGGCCTTGCATCTTCCTTTTTTGGATTAAGCTTATTATAACTTTTGGTTATGTATTCATTTATTTATTTTTTATATCAATCTTTAAAGTTTGAAACTTTTGATACTGTGTATTAAGCCCATGACATTGAAAACACAAGTTTTTTTTTTTCTTTTTTCTTCAGTGTTAATTAATACTCCGTATTTTATATCACTGAACAGAAGTTGATCCTGTTGCTTCTCTCTCTCTCTCTCTTCTTCTTTTATTTTTTCAAAAAGTGTTCTCATTTCTCAATGTTCTCAACTAGTTTTTTTTTTCTTTCTGTCAGAAAAGTTTTTAGTATGGAATCTTCTTAAACTCAAGTTAGAAATAGTAATTTAGAATCTTTGCCAATACTACAATTGAAGGATCACCCTTTCTAACAGAATGAGTCTATTGAACATAGTTTGCTTAGCTTATGGCTTTTGGTGGTAATGTGGTATTGGTTCTATTCAATGTTGTTAGATCAAACATAAATGAACTGTAGGACATAGTATGTGGCCCTGTAGGACAGTGAACTTCACATTATTTGGACAGATAGTGATGAAACCACTGTATAAAGGAACCACTTGTGCATGTTGCACTGGGGTCCATTTGTTGTTTAACTTGTGGGCCACAAGGCTTTTTAGCATCCAATGAATGAAGGGTGTCAGTTTGCAGAATTGAAAAGACTTCAACAGCTTTTTGGGTCTGTTTTTGTTTTTGAATTGAAACAGTTAGTGACATGAGAAGGGAAATACAGTTGGATGATCTCTTAAACAAATCATATCTTATTATTCCACTTTCATGACTCCTTTAATCTTACGTGGCTAATTAAATTTGCAGCTAATAATTTGGGGGTTGATGCTCTTTTTGTCTACACCAAGGATGGTCACATGGCTTCTCTCCTATCACGCTGCCGACCTGATTGCCCCATTTTCGCATTTACAACCACGACCTCTGTGCGTAGACGCCTGAACCTGCAATGGGGTCTAATCCCTTTCCGCTTGAGTTTCTCTGATGACATGGAAAGCAACCTCAACAAAACCTTTTCCCTGCTAAAGGCTCGGGGCATGATCAAATCAGGTGACCTGGTCGTTGCTGTTTCTGACATGTTGCAATCTATCCAGGTTATGAATGTTCCATGAGAACACAACAAATTCTGGCACAAACTATTAGTTTTACAACCCCCATCAGTCTACTGCTCTTCAGACAGTGAATCTTGCTTGCATAGGCCAAGTTAGCAGTCAAAGACTAATATGTTGTTCCAAATGTACCAGATGAGTAATGTGGTAATTTATTGACCGGATTGCATATTTTTCTTTAGAAATTCTAGTGAGGATTATGAGGGTATATTTGCTTCTTTAAGCTCTTAAACTTTCTTGTATATCTTCAAAGATTCATCAATTTGGATTAGTGTGCAATAGTACAGTAGCTCTCTTAAATGTTGTCAGGTAGCACATAATTTTCCATTTGATTGACCCTTGACATAAACCTTACCTTTCATATAATTTGACAAAAAAATTGAGTCCATATATTGAAAAAAAAATATCTGGTTCATGATAAGTCCATGAGTCCAGTCTAGATTAGTATGACTTTGTTGTTGTTGAAAATATGGTTGACAATTAAGGCAACAGCCTGTTTTTTCAATGGACATGACATTTCACAGTGCTGTACATCTTTCCAAATCTATGGAGTTGAAAGTTTCTTGGTCTTTTCTGGATTATGGGGTTGAAATGTTGTGAGATTGTGGGGAGTATTATGGTCTCATGGGTCATATTTTGCAGAGGAAAAATGGTCAATAATGGAAGTTGGGGTTAATAAAACAAGAGAGTGCCAGTTCCCAGGTACTATAATCTCAAGTAGATTAGCTAAATATGGTGTTGTGAACAGCAATCCCAGTTGTAATCCCTAGGATTGCCACCAGATGGAATCTATGAGATTAAAATGGTTATCATATCTCATCTGGGATAAGGCTGTTGTTATCCCTGAAAGTGCAGCCATTTCAATATGATGTGACTTTTTTTTTTTTTTTTTTAATAAAAATAAATTGTCAAGTGGTTTGCAAGTCCAACAAAATCCGAACTTACGGGAAGTGTTTGGTAAATAGTTGTTAGCTGATTGAGTTAGTGGATTTGACCAGTTGATAACATTATCTGATTGTAAAAAGATATTTGGTAAATTGACTGTTATTAGCTCATAACTGATTATATACAAAATGACTTTTTCTAATCGAAAAAGTTGCTTTGAGCAGCTTTTTGAAATTTAATGTTTTAGAGCAATAAGTTGTTACAAAAAAAAAATTAATTAGTCAAACACTCATATTAATTGTTTAACCAAGTCATTATCAAACAGGATGACTCTGTCAAATGGCAAATTATACAGTGGAACATGATCCATATTAAAAGGAGAACGATTAATAAATGTTCATTTTTAATGTACTGAAAGTTTATTATATAAAAAATGAACATGTAGTACACTAAAAATGAACATTCATTATATTAAAAATGAATCTTCAATATACTAAAAATAAATATGTATACCATTAGTCCATCTTGCAATGTAGATTATAGTACACTATAATGATTGCTGTCAATATGGCAGGGTAGGTCCAGTTTTTTAATAAAGTTTACTATTATTATTATATTATACTCCGTATTATATTATATTACGAAATATATTTTAAGAGTGAGTTAAAATTGTAGGGACATAAAGAAAAATAGTGAATGAATTAGAAATATGATGATAAGACAACATGATACATTTTTAAAAAGTGAAAAAGTATTACATAAATAAACAAAGCTAAAGTAATTCTTTCAAAGTTCAATGGTTTAGGTGCTAGATAGATGACCAATCAACTCTTTAGTTAGGAGGCACCCTAATTTAATTCTGACATCAATCGTTAACAAGAGGGTTGTTACACATTTGTTTATTTATTTAAAAGTGTTTAGTTTTTATTGACTTAAGAGCATTTGTATAACCAACTAGGTATATTAAATTATTATTAACTTGGAAGAAATTATATATTTCTACCCATATATTTAGCAAAGTTTCTCAAAGTGCTCTTGGAAGAGCAATTATTGGTGGCACATAATTGAGGATTTGCCTACGCACTCTACATGCATGGGTTTGTTATTAGTTAATGCTTGCATATACCCATGACCTCATTGACATAAATATGAGTGTGATTGATATGAATATAATGGATTAGACACCCACATGCATGTTTAATCAAGGTTTTGATGAGTCTTTTCAAATCATTTTAAGTTAATAATGCACATTTAAATCTGCTAGTGGTTAAGGTTAACAGTCAAGTGAGAAATGTTGTTCCTAAAATGTTTTATTTCAGCTTAGTTGATCATATCACATGTAGGGGATTGGAGTAGGTGTAATGGACCTTTCATAGGACTAGAGGATGCATGTGTGGTTTCAACTGTAAATTTTGTGAAAGATACCTTAGGTTAAATCATATATATACCATGGGGCACATTACAATATATGTGTGCCTAGATATATATGTATTTTTGAAATTTTAGTAAATTTTTATATACTTTGTCGAATATATTCTAAGATGTTTACTTGTTGCATTTAGATCTAATATTTGATGTATGAAAATTTTCAAGAAGTGTTTCGATTGCAAAATTTTTAACTCCGATTCACCCTACCAACCTCACGTAAAGTCTTGTATTGACATGTTCAAAATGATATGGTGGATGGGTCTTCATTGTGATAAGTTGTTTTTAATATAATGATAATCGCTCTAACAGTTTTTGTGTTTTAAACTTTTTTTTTTTCTTGAAATTTCATATAAACTCCTTAAAATGTTTTGATGTTGTTTTCATAATTAAAAATATTTGAAAATACACTTTTTAAAAAGAAATACATATTAGGGTCTAATTGAAAATCCCATGCCTCATGTCATGCATGCCACGATCCTACGACCCACCAGTTGACCACGGTATGTCGGTATGGTGAGGCCACACAACATGCCATGGATGGGTCTTCATTGTGATCGGTTGTTTTTAATATAGTGATAATCGCTCTAACAGTTTTTGTGTTTTAAACTTGTTTTTTTTTTTTTTTCTTGAAATTTCATATAAACTCCTTAAAATGTTTTGATGTTGTTTTCATAATTAAAAATATTTGAAAATACACTTTCTAAAAAGAAATACATATTAGGGTCTAATTGAAAATCCCATGCCTCATGTCATGCATGCCACGACCCTACGACCCACCAGTTGACTATGGTATGTCGGTATGGTGAAGCCACACAACATGCCATGGATGGATAGTTAGATCGGCTGGTAGCCTAAGTTGGGTGTCTAGCCATCTCACTCCCTTTTCTTTGCCTCATTCTTCGTCTTTGCGCTTTTTTTTTTTTTTTAAAGGCAAAGAATCATAATATATAACCTCGGAATAACGGTTAAATAGGCCACTGAACTGTACACGAGAACGCAATTAGGCCACTGAACCTAAAAAAATTTACAATTGGGTCCCTAAACTAACCAATTTCATTCAATTTGTCTATTTTTCAGGTTTATCAAGTTGCTAACAGGTTACCCTTTCACCTAGGATGTTTATGTGCCATTTTTTAAAAAATAATTTATTTTTAAATTAGTTTTTTTTTAATGTTTAATAAATAAAAAATAAAATAATTTATTTTTAAATTAGTCTTTTAATGTTTAATAAATAAAAAATAAAATAATTTGTTTTTGTTTTTTTTTTGTGAAAATAAAATAATTTGTATTTGTTTAAAATTTGCAAATCACCAATACAAACTAATTATTTTAAAATTCAAAAATCACCAGTTTCGATTAAATAATTTGTTAATTATTTTATTTGTTCCTGGTCACGATACAGTAATTGAATTATTGAATTATTTTAATACTATACAATAGCAGTACTATTGTTAGATGGAAAAACTAAAATATATTAAGCATATCTAATTTGAAGGTGGCTGTGATGAAGTCTGTGATTAATCTCTTTGACCAAAACAAGGAATCTGATTGTTTAATAGGAAACAAATTAGTCAATTAAATTATTTTAGTTTTTATTTATTAAACATTAAAAAAAATTAATTTAAAATTAAATTATTTTTTAAAAAATGCCACATATAAATCATAAGTGGAGGGGTAACCTGTTAGTAACTTGAGAAACTTGAAAAATGGACAAATTGAATAAAATTGATTAGTTTAGGGGTCTAATTGTAAATTTTTTAAGTTCGATGGCCTAATTATATTTTCGTGTGCCAGTGGCCTATTTGACCCTTATTCCTATAACCTCAACCATTTTTACTTCTACTATATACACGTATTAGTTAAAACATATATTCATTCACATTATAATTTGTCAATGTACTAATGTTGAAATAATAACTTGTGAACATTATTCTATTTACTCTTATTGTTGTTAGTCATTTTTCTATTCCTTTCAATTCCCCCATTTCTTCATAAATCTAGAAGATGCATTTGGTCGTGTTACTCGTGTAAATGGTCCAAGCACCATCATACTCTATATTTATCACATGGCAACTACTTCTTCTTTTTTTGGAACCAACTCTTTGGAAGTATATTGTTGACAAATATTCATATACAATATAATGCAGCCTGATGAGTAAATACATCATTTTCTAGTCATGCCACATTATTCCAATGATAATCAAAACTTTTAGTTGAAGAAAAATAAGATGATGAGTAAATAATTTTTCCTTTTACTTGATCGGAAAATAATCTGTGTAATGATACAATATTTACAATAGAAAAAAGCGTTAAATTGCCTCCCTAAGTCAAGTGGATAGTGCAATTGGGTCCCTTAAGTGAAAAAAGTCCAATTCAAGTCCCCCTAAATCGATAAAATTGTTCAATTAAGTCCAATTTGACTTGTTTATCTGGTTAAATCGATACGGTGTTGACACGTGTGTCCTTCTAACTTTATTTTTTTAAATAAATATTTTTTATTTATTAAAAATTTAAAATATTATTTATTATAAATAATGTTAAATAAAATAATTAATTAAAAAATTAGATCTGCCGGAGACGAGGGGATAGTATCCGGCCATGGAGATGAAGAATCGTCTCCGGCAGTTCTAGTTTATTTATTTATTTATTATTTTAATTAATTATTTTATATAAAATTATTTATAATAAATAATATTTTTAATTTTTAATAGATAAAAAACATTTTTTTAAAAAAATAAAATAAGAAGGACACGTGTCAACACCATATCAATTTAACTCCATAAATAAGTCAAATTGGACTTAATTGAACAATTTTACCGGTTTAGGAGACTTGAATGAAACTTTTTTCACTTAGAGGACCTAATTGCACTATCCACTTGACTTAGAGGCCAATTTGACACATTTTCCTTTACAATATACTGAATCAATGGGATTTTTGTGTTTATTTTTACCCTTCAAAATAATGAGCAAACAATCCATTACAATTAAATATAAATTTAATAAGCCAAACACCTTGTACCAGATGACATGTAGTGA